ATAAAAGGTAGGTTTTGAGGGGGGGGGGTAGCATATATATATATATACACATATACATAGGTCATATCCAACCACCGAACACTAAACCCTAGACCCTAAACCCTAAATCCTAAACCTAAATCTTAAAACCCTAAATCCTGAACCCTAAAATCCTATATAGCAGCTATAGCCCCATACCCTTCGACCTCCTGCGTTCGCCACCTAGGAATGGCAGGTCGACCTTATGGACAGCGCTTTGGCCTGAAGTTTGTAATCCTAGGGTTCAGGTTTTTCGATTTACGGTTTAAAATTTAGAGTTGAGGGTTTCGGATTTAGGGTTTAGGCCTAATGGTCTAGGGTTCAGGCTTCAGGATATAAGTTGCAGGGTTAGGCCCAAAATGACTTTGCAACACACGCACAACGACAGATACACAACAATGAGTTCTGGAGCAGAGGCAACACTCAAAGCGACATCCACACAGCATGCAAAACTCACGCTGCGTGGAAACCCACGCAGCATGCATTTGCAAGTTTGTCATTGTCAGCCTATGCACTTGTACTGGGTAAGACAATGGGAGGAGCCTATGGAGTCACAGCGGGTGGGGGTTTTGAAGAAAGCCCAGCTTCGATGGCTTTTGGGGCAACATCCACAAGGTTCGCTGGGCGCATGGATACTCTACCTTGTGCAGGTAGACGTCCTAAACCCTAAACCTGATTCCTACACCCTAAATCCTGAATTCTAAGCCTTGAATCTTAAGCCCTAAAGCCTGAATCCTAAAGCCTAAACCCTACATCCTAAACCTTAAAACGTGAAGCTTAAACCCTAAACCTTACACCCTGAATCCTAAACCCTAAACCCTCTACTTGGCTTCTGTACCAGATAGTCCTCGAAATGAAGCATGTAAGGTCCCTGCCTGGGTTGACTTACGGACTCAACTGAGTTGCTGCTAAGGAACATGAGTTTAGTGTATAATATGCGAAAATTGGGTTTTGGATGTAGTCTTAATGGTTTAGGGCTTAGGGTCTAGGGTTACCAGAATATAGGCATATCGTATGGTTTCTTGTTATAGCAATTTAATTCCAGTTTCTGAACAGCAACCCAACTAAGGGCGTCTTAGCTCTGGGCGCTGGGTGCCTATGTAGATAGACTATGGTTTTGGGTATATTATAATAAGAATCCCCTTTACCCCATATTCTATTTATTTAAGGGGGACTATAGGCTTTTAGTTTTCTAGGGCGTAGGGTTAGAGGGCACAAGGCGTCAGAGCAACAGTTTGAAAGGGTCCATGTAGGGATTCGCATATACATACTTCCGGGCCCAAGTATACACCATATACTTACGCTAAGCCAAAAAACCTAGACCCTATGTTCCCACATGAGCTGCAGTCTAAACTCCTAGTATCCCCCTTAAGCCTGACTTTGATGCAGGGCATGCCGGACAAAAGGGGATGCGAAGGCAACGACATGGAGCCAGTCAGCACCGGGGCAGGAAGTTGCGCTGTTAACACCATAAAGCATTTCCTGGCAATGATTTTTCCGCAGCTGCAAGGCATGGGATCCGCGCAAGCTCCTTCTGTTTCTCGGTCAACCAACCGAGGCAGAAGCTGACGCCGACAGCAAGCCTCAAAAGCTGAGCGCACCTGGCTTATATCTGGAATATGCAAACTTCTTACGGCTGTAGGGCGCTTAGCATTAGACTGAGCTCAATGGCATGCGTACTCAGGCAAGCGCCCTGATGCAAGAATTTCGGGAGCAGAAGGACGAGGCCATTTCTCAACACCCACATAAACAGTTTACCGAGCCAAGGTTTACTCTGTTGCTGCTCCAGCAGGCTACACGTAAGAATTGGCGGCAGCAGCTCTTTTCATGCTGAAAGTTGCAAGGGTTTTGGCAACTTGTGGTAGTCCGGTGCACTGCGCAAGCCTGCTGCACGGCCGGCGTGCAGGCGCAGAAAGAGTTGCTGAAGGCTGGTTTCAGCAGTTGTTACAGTGTGACTCCCTATACAAGCTAATGGACACGATGCCTGGTAGTCTGGGCACAATGCTCGGCAGGAAAGCATCCTCAAGAGCAGGAGCAAGGTGAGCAAGGTGGGGCTTTCCATTTTCAAGCACAGGAGATTATGAGACTGATGCCCATGAACTTCCCTAGGTGGAAAATAATGCTACAAGTAAAGCGCTGTACCAGAACACATGTGAATGAGAAGCCTTCCTTCTCTTCATGCGTAGCGATATCACAGCCAGGTTGTGTTCAACATCCCCCGGCTTCGGGCTGAGATGGCCAAAGCTTATTAAGTTGCCCACGTTGGGAGTGCCGCATTCAGCTCCTGACTGCAACAAATGGATGAGCTCGGAATCTTTTCCATTAAGTCGGAGTTTGGAATTCATTCGCCGGCCCCATCCCAAAATCACGCCAGCGTAGATTCTCAAACAGTGAAACACCAGCAAGAGGACCATGACGACGTCCACGACCATGCACCACCACTATCAATTCTCTTTGGCGAACTATGTAGAAGAGACCGTGCCACTTTGCAAAGTCCCAGGTCACTGCCGTCCGCCGAAGACTCGGACTCCGACTTTGAAGTCGAAGACAGTTTTTGCTGTCCCTATTACATCCTGGTTTGTCATTGCCAGGATGGGAGCCACTTGCTTCGGTGCGTCGAGCTGCCGGCGCCGCTGAGGGCCTTCCTGGAGGCCCAGGGGGCACGCGGAGGCCACCTTACACCGGTGTGAAAAAGAAGGGCGTACATATATGTGCAGAACAATGATGTTTTGTGTGTACAGGCCCAGGGCCTACATACCAGCACCATCTCAACGACGGGAGATCCACCACTGTGAACATTAAGCGGGCCAGCCACGTAAACTGCGCGTCCCCACAGTGTAAGGCCTATAGTAATCCCCTATATAACCCCCTTTAAAGAGTGTAGACTAGAGCTCACATGGACCCGTTGCAAGTTCAGATGTTGGGAGTATTCAGGCACCCCAAGGGGCCCAAACCCCCCCCCCCCACAAGTCCGTCAATGACTGCCTTGGGCTGACTGCTGCATATGATTCCCTGACTACATTGGGCGGGCCCGGGTTATATAGTCCCCCCAATATTAAACAATATTAAACACCCCCGCCACCTAATCTTAAATACTGCCATCGTGGTATTATTCGGGTGGGTGGGGGGGCTTAATAGTAGGGGAATGTGATTAGGGATTATTATCGGATCTTAATATGGGGCTATACATGAGGGCTTCCTCTCAAACCAAGTAAAAATTTCAGTCAAGGGTTTATATCTTGAACAGGGCTAGTCAAAGTCTGCCATGGGCTCATTTCCGGAACCCGATCGGCAAGCTTGGATGTTTGCTTCTTTCAGGTTTGGGGTTTACTTACTGGGGGTCAGTCGGGGATAAGAAAATAAGGTGTACAGGGATTATATGAGCTATAGTCGAAACTCCTCAGAGGGCGGTTATATAGTGGAGAATAATATAGTGCACTTCTATAGGGATTACGAAGAGGGATGCTAGGAGTTTAGACTATAGTTCATGTAGGGACTTTGTGCGTTAGGAAGAACCACCTTGAGCCCTAAGCCCTAAACCCTAAACCCAAACACGAATCGCTAAACCGCGTTTAAGGTTGAGGGAGACCGGCGTTCGCGTCTAGTTCTGCGTATGCGTGAACTTGCGACATCAAGACGTGCATCTACAATCTCATCGGCTTAGGGTTTAGGGTGTTTAGGGTTCAGCGTTTAGGGTCTGCCCAAGAGCCTCCCAGTTGTCACGAGCAGTTTATGGGTAAGGGCGCATCGGAGCTGAGCATGGCTTGAAACTCACCTGGTGCCCTAAGGCCACCACCTCTGCATCACAGAAGTGGAGGAATCTGGCTTGGGTATATGGGGCATGTAGGGGTTAAATGAGGAATGCTGGAAATGAAATGTACTATATTGTTGTATTATAGGTAACATGTACCAGAAAAGAAATCTACTACAGTGTATTGGGATAGGATTATATAGAGAAGAATGGGCAAGAAACACGAAACTACTATTTAGGATTTAAGGTTTAGGATATGTGGACTTCCGAGGAGGCTGTAAGCACTATGGTCTACGACGGGTATTCACGTGTTGAGACAGGCCATCATATGCACAACTGCACATGCCATTTGTTTGTGGAGAAAGTGGAGTACTCTTCCTTCGAATATTTAGCCACGGGTCGGTGGATGACCAATGGAAAGTTCGAACGCATTGATGGTAACTACGTTGTGAATGTGTCCACAATTTGTGTGGGATCTTTGCTTACCTCTAGACCCTGAATCCTAAACCCTATAAATCCTACACCCTTGACATTTGGTGGTCTATATCGGGATGGCTTATACGCTTCCCCGAAAGGTCAACATACCCATTAACCATGTACTTGCCCAACACCTGCTTCACAATTCCCAAGTCCCACATACCTAAGTATCGGGTGTTTGGAGAATTCTAACATCCCAGAGCCCTGGGATGATTTCAAAAATAGTATGGAGATGCGAGCTTGTGGGTTTAGGGTGCAGGGTTGTTGAGGTTTGGGGGCTGAGGATTCAGGGGGTTTAGAGTCTAGGTAGGTGGGTCTGGGGCTAGGCCCCTTCCTCGACTAGCCTGCCACCGTACAAGGTACCAAATTCAGGGCCCCTCTCTCTTCATCCATCTGTCCAGATGCTCTGCGTTTAGGGTTAGGGCTTTGCGTTGAAATTTCCGGCTTGCTCCCTAAGTTGTTGGACCACATGGTACGGGGAGCCTACAGAACTTGATATGCCCAAAGTCCACCCTAAGCCTTCTATACTAAACCCTTAAACCCTAAAGCTCATCCCAAGACTTCCTTCAGGCCGAAAGAGGACATGAACCATGGAATCTTGAAAGTTGGCATCTCTGAAAAGAATCTGTTCGGTTTAGGGATTTTGACTTAAAGGTTCTACCCCCTCTTCTACTGAAAGCTTAGGGACATATCCCTGGTGTCCTGAAGGGCACCCCAGCTTGACAAAGTTCCCAAAACTGGTGCGCTGCAGCCACCCGGTGGATGGACAGAATCCTGTGTGTGATCTTGTATGCAAAGCTGTAGGGTTTAGGGTGTATGGTGAAGGGTTTAGAGTCTAGGGTATGCAAATCATGGTATACGTCGGGTTACGCAGGATGTTTGTGCATCATCACAATGCGGGCCCTCACCCAGAATTCTGAACCCCGAATCCTGAAACCTAAACCCTAAATCCTAAATCGTAGTTTCTTTCCATTATCCCCTACATATCCCTTCTATAATCCCTACAGAACCCCTATATAACTCTATATAACCCTTTAGAAACCTAAACCCTAAACCGCAACTGGGTAGTATTCTATTTGGGGATACTATGGTACCCAATATAGAGCAAGATTCTATCCTCGTTTTGGGTAAAGTATTTATAACCCTAAACCGTAAACCTAGGTTCAACCACCCCAAAAGAAGCACTAGTCAATTGGGTATAGGAGCTAGCGCTGGGATCTGACATCATCTGGTCAACAAGACGAAAAGGCGAGAGATCTGAGGGTTTAGGGTTTAGGGTGTTTAGAGTGTTTAGGGTTGGAATTCAGGGTTTAGGGTTTAGGTTGTTTATTGTCTGGGATTTAGGGTTCAGGGTTCAGGGATTAGGGCTTAGGGCCTTAGGGTTTATAGTGGGTTATCTTGCCCACTGATCTCAATTTTGGAAGAGCCTGGGGAGGAGTTGTATGGGCAGGGATGAAGCCATGAGTTTTAGGGTTTAGGGGTTTCGGGTTTCGGGTTTAAGGTTTAAGGTTTAGGGTTTAGGGTTTAGGCTTTAAGGTTTAGGGCTTTGGGTTTCCCAGGAGGTCCACGGATCCAATTTTTGAATACCCGCGGTATGGGAAGCAGGGATTGTGGCATGTTTTCTCGGGAAGTATCTGAATGCTGGGTACTTTGCCCCGCAGCGCTTTGGAGATGGGTTTCAGGAATTCGGATAAGCTTTTCATGGTTTAGGATCTAAGGTTTAATTTCAGGCTTTCCACGCTCCAAGATACATGGCTTAGGATTCAGGATTCAGGGTCTTGCAGCCTTCAACACTAAACTCTAATCACCTTGGGAGTTTGTCTCTAATTAGAGTTTGTGACAGCAGGTGGAGGGGTCAGAGGCTGCAGTGTCATGCAGGGTAGGTCATCAGCGACTTCAAGTCTAGGGGGGTAAGCGTGTTTATCTGAAGTTCACTTCCTTGCCCATGTCTTAAGCCCTAAGCCCTACACCCAAGCTTTTCAACCAAGCAATTTCGTTTTTGGGGTGGCAGTGGGCCTCCTCGGTACAACAAGCTAATGGGTGGTTATATAGAGGATTTTATATTGAGGAGAACTATAGGGGTTATTAAGGGGGATAGTAGGAGTTTAGACTATATTCTGACTCATAGCTCCCTGATTGACATTTTGTACAGTTACGCGTTCGAGGAACATGTTGGGGTTGGGGCGGTCCTTGAACCCTAAACGCTAAACCGAAGAAAACCCATACAGCTAAAGCCTGGACAAGACATCCGGAATCCCAAACCTAAGGACCCAACACCCATGAACCTCAAATGAACCCTAAACCGTTCTAAACCTTTCACCCTGAGCCGCCTGAACCGTTGATGGACTAAATCCTGCATGACGCATAATAAGGAATATAGCACACTTCCCAAGGTTTAGTTACCCAAAGTCATGCAGGATGGACAAATCAACATCCTATCCAATAAGCCATGAGCCCTTAACCCTAAACAGCCTGTATGAATGGGTTGCAAGGATGCTGTAGGTTTCTAAAGGGTCCGCAAGACGGCCAGGCTATGCTAGAGACATCCCTGACACCCACGAGAATGCGACACATGTTTAGGGATAGGGTTTAGGGTTTAGGGCAGAATTTGGGATTTATGCCTCGGGGTGTGGGGCGTTAGGGATTGGCAGTTCAGGCCCCTGTTCCCCAAGGGTCCAAGTATCTAATAATCATATACTAACCCAAAACCTATATCATAATTACTATGACCCAAAACCCAAGTACCTAATTATTGGGTACCCTTTGGGGTTGTCCTTGAACGTGAGTTAGGGCTGGTAATCTGCGGAAGTAACTTTACAGCCCTGGCTTCGAGAGGCCATGAGCTCAATGAGAGCGAGGCTCACTTTTGCAAGAACGTGGTGTGTCGTATATCTTCACAGACATGCATTCTCCACATGGGTTCGGGGTCGTAGAGCTTGACAAGGATGAAATGCATCTGTTATAACGTGTGAAGAGGGGTCTATGCTTAGGGTTGTCAGTTTCGGGGAGGTATTGATGGCTTAAGCAGGAGTGAGGCCCAGCATGCAGAACATATGTTGGGAAACAGCGTCTTCAAGTGCACCGACTTGGCGCATATGCTGCTGTCAGTAGGCGTCGGTATTGTGCCTGTGTGTCCACAAAGCTTATGGTCTGATTGATGATGCTGTAGGACTTCGGCGGTAGAAGTGCAGAGCGATTGAAGGCCGCAGTCGTTGAGCGCGTTTCGCCTAGCCCCTTTCTTATTTCGTGAGGGGTTTTGGAGTTGAGGGCCCATTGCCAGGACAATGGTAGGAGCTAGAGCGCTTTGACATTCACGTTTATTCCCCAAACCTCAAGAATCAGATTGGAGAAAGCAAATGCTCTCATCTTTCTATGTCTATGCTGCAAGCTACCGACCAGCCAGAGCCCTAAGCTCCCAAGTCCTTTGCTTTTTCTTGACAGCCCACACTAGCATGCGAGGCGAAAGTTAGTTGCACGTCCCACGACAAACAGTCAGAGTCTGGAAGCTTTGATAAGGGGGTATGGAGCAGAAACATCGACAGTGTAGGTGGGGGAGGAAGCAGGGTTGTTTTCCCTTGCGGTTCATGTCATTCGTACTGGAAAATGCACCTAGCATGGCTTTAAACCCCTAAACCATGAACCCTAAACCCTAAACCCCAAGCCATGCATGTCTTGAAAGTCTGAGCATGCCGCAACATTACGTACAATCTCTATGCACTGCTATGTGAGCCCAGGTGCCACTTCACTTGCAGTTTTTGTTGTCCACTGGATTCTCCGTGTATTAGTACTCCCCCGCCAATGTCAGAACGCCTCACCTCTCATATTAGGGTTTAGGGTTGAGGGCATATTCAATATTCCCTAGATACTAACCTATAGCAGAATAAAAGTGTTTACTACTAGGAGGGGTTGAATATTTAGGAGCCCTTAAACCCAACCCTAAATGAGTAGCATTTTATTTGGGGGTACTATGGTACCCTAAGCCCTAAACCCTAAACCCTAAACCGTGGCAGTGCCTTCATTTCTTGGTCATGGGAGGCGCAGAGAGTAATGGAGACGATGCGGCGCTTGGAGCCTTTGTTTGCACGGGATATGTTTAGGGTTGAGGTTTTAGGGTTTAGGATTCAGGGTTTAAGGTTGAGGATTTAGGCTTCAAGGTTTAGGGCTCAGACTCCAAACAGCCCAGTGTAGAGTGCCGGTAGGCTTTTGATGGACACAAAGCCGAATTAATGTAGGTTGGGTACTGCCCCCACCCAGTAACAGTCTATATTAGGGGTGCTATTAAGGGCTATATATAGCCATATTATAATTATTATCCAGCTGTTACTGAGGGGCGGCAGTACACAAAATGTAGGCCCCTAAACCCTAAACCCTAAACCCTGAGCCCTAAACCCTAATGTAGGCATCATTTGTCGACTTAGCCAGGGTGCAGCTCTAAGTCTGTAAGGAACGCCCACCGCGGGCGCCAAAGTCCACTAATTGTAATTGTTGTGGGGATTTAGGGTTTAGGACATAGGGTTCAAAGGTTTAGGGTTAAGGATCTAAACCTTAAAGCCTATTTGGAGTCTGAAGCTCTGAAAATTACAGTGAAGAAAGCAGGCTTACTTGCAGACAGTTCCAGCTGGCCTCTATTTATTCTCGCAGGAGTAGTGGTTGGAATTCCGGAGAAGGTGCTAAGAGTGAGCAGAAACATCAAATGCTTTCTAGTTGTTATTTTGGTAGTAGCACCCCAACATGGGTCCCTTTTGCTACTGTGGGGATCTACTTCTGGATCCTCCCTGAAGTCTTTGTGAAGGCTTCCACCCACTTATTCGTGCAAGGCATGAGATGGGTTCTCTGATCCCGTTTGTAGGGGCCACGCTTGCAGCACTTGCGCCGCCGGACCTGCCAAACAAATCATGGCTTATGTAGGAAAAGGTCCCAAAAGCCGTAGACCCACTGCACAGTACATCCAAGTTGTATTTCAAGCGAGCAAGATAGTAGGCTGTCCCCATGTGTCTCCAAAATTTGAGGTTCTTCCTGCCAAAAGAGGTTCGTGATTATATCTCAGAGACATCTGATGATCTCCGCCCCGCCAACAAGTCTCCTTGCGGCCATGCTGTAGGACAGCTGCAGCAAACACTATTTACCGGTAGGGGACATGCCTACCCCGATACCTCTAACACCCAGGTAAGTCAGTCGAAACCCTACTACTTACTACCAAGAAACTGAGATTTTGTTTATAGTCCCCCTTAAGTAGATAGAATATGGCTTTGGGTACATTATAATAAGATCCCCATACACCCCATATTCTATCTACTTAAGGGGGACTGTTCCGTAGTAGGGAGGCCCACAACCAGTAACGTCCAATGAGCGGCCTTTTTTGGGAAGAAGAGGTTTGGCACCGGGTCGTCGTCTGCATAACCCTCAAGCCGACCTGTCCTTTCTGCTAGGGATCAAATAATAACAATAGTTGTAACAATTATAGTCTAGTCGTAATAATAATAAGAAGAATCGCAAGAATACTAATAGTGGTAGCCTAGGTTTAGGGTGAAGGGTTTGGGGTTTAGGGCCTGAAGCTTTGGGAGTCTAGGGTCTCAAGCTTGATTACATTACCCTTTCAGAACCTTGCTTACATTACCCTTTTAGGAAGTTCTTGCTGTAACAAATGCTTCCCTCCCCCCCAGACCCCCAGACACACGCCCAAGCCCTATGCCCGACATTACACAGAAACGCTCAGCTCTGAAAATTAGCTTCTAGACCCCCAGCCCCTGAGCCCTAATCTCTAGGTGAGAAGCCAAGTTATATGATATCTCACAGCCTCATACGCTACTATTCTAGATGGCATGCGTGGTTCATAGCATACCCAGCTAACGTAAGCCCTATTGCAGCTCCCTACATCCAATGCCCGAACCCTTGACCCTACCCGCTGAGCCCTTCACGAAAGTACCTTTACAAACCAATTCTTCCCTAAACCCTAAACCCTAGACCCTAAACCCCCTGCTTGAGGTTCCAGTTGCCTCGAAAGTCTCCCACGATCCGGAAGATGAGTATCTCACGGAACTGTTTCAGGAAGCAGTGTATGAGTTTAGAGGTTTAGGGCTTCAGGGAGGAGGTAGGGTGTAGGGTTTAGGGTATAGGGTTTGCAGTTGAGGAATTATGGCCTAGGGAGAAAGCTAGGCCTTGGGGGTTTCGTAAGGATTTGGAAGAAGTGTTTGATGTACCTGGGCACAGAAGTAGATAAAATACTAGCCCAAAAGCTTTGAAAACAGTCCCAAACGGCCATTATTCTACATACTTTCGGGGTTAAGGTAGGGTTTAGGGTGGAGATTTCCGGAGACAAGGCGGATGCCCCCCCGTCGACCTCAACCTGTGCTGTTTGCAACTCGAGTGCTTCTGGGTTATCTCCATTGGCTCCTAGTATTGGCCAGCCCCTACATACATGCCTCGTATGCACCTCAGTATATACACACATACCTCACATATTTGAATTTATATTATATGTGTGTCCATATAAAAAATGTGCATATATATATATGTAAATACACATATATATATATATTTGTGTGTGTGTAGAGATATATATATATATGTATACATATACATGTATACTTTTTTTGTACATGCCTCTAAAATGGCCCCTGGAATCTACCCCGCAAGGCCTACAGCGGCATTTGTCCACCATTGAATTCCGTTGAATTAGGGAAGCCAAGAGGGACCTCCGCATATCAGGGGTCCCATATAGCCTTAGTCTACACTCCTAGAATCCCCCCTTCATGAGCCCTATAGTAGTCCCCTATATAGTCTCTTATATAACCCCCTTAAGGGAAATCAGACCCTAAACCCTAAACCCTGAATTGCTTAGCCCTAAACCCTTAACCCTAAATTCCTGACCCCGAAGCCCTAAACCCAAAAATCCTTAGTTCTTAAGCCCGGAGCCCTAAATTCCTTAGCCCAAAGCTCTAAGCCCTAAACTCCTTCATATGTGGATGCGACCTCCCTTCTCTGCAGGAGGATGCTTGCTACTTCGAGGAGCACGGGTGCTACCCACCAGACTACTGACCAGAGACTTCGACTTGCACTTCCCCATGAGCTATCGTCTAAACTCCTCAAGGGGGTTATATGGGGGATTATATGGGGGACTACTATAGGGGTTATTAAGGGGGATACTAGGAGTTTAGACAGTAGCTCACATGAGGGTATCATTTAGGATTTAGGATTTCATGGGCTTAGGCCTTTGCGGTATAAGATTTTGAGGGTTCAGGGTGTAAGGTTTTTGGGGTGCGGGATTTGAAGAGTGACGGCAGTTGAGGTTTAGCTTTGGAATTCTGGAATTTGGCGGCACACCTCCATACTTGAGGGTTCCTGGATTGTACCCTCGAGGTCGTACCCCTCAAAGGTTTCCCCAATACGGCCCCAATATAGCCTTTATGTAAACCAATGTAGTCCTCTAGGGTCCCTTTAAAGGATCCCCAAACCCACGAGTACAACCCTCGGGGCACGAGCCTTGAACCCTTGACACACCTTGAGCTGTGAAGAATCCCAAAGGATCCATGTGGGTATGTAGTATATACTTGGGCCCTAAAGTGGACATATGGGAACCCGTTTGGGCCTTAAGTATCTAGTATATACCTACCCTAGACCCTAGACCCTATACTATATACCTACTTGGACCCTTTGGGAAGGGAACTGCGGTACTTCAGGGCCCTGTGTCCAGACGGCAAGGAAGCTGACACGGTAGCAAGACTCCAGTCCTTTCTCCTTGGCACTTAGCTAGGCCTACTTTTCCTTGAGGACAGCAAACCAGATTAGTGGGTGTTCCATGTGTGCTTTGGGGAGGACAGCTCTCTGTGTGCTACCGGTGTTGGTTTAGACGGTCTGCTTTGAGGGTTTACGGTGTCGGCTTAGGATTTAAGAGGCTGCCTTTGTAAGCTCTACAACCCAAGGGGTCCATGTAGGTATGTAGCAGAATACTGATGGCCCAAAGGGGTTCCCATATACTTCAGGGCCCGAGTCATATACTATTTACCACATGGACCCTTTGGGCAAGCATGGAATCCCAGCTAGGAGCTGTCTTGAAGTTTGGCAACCCTCTTCGTCAGACTACCACAGTACCCCTGGAAGTTTAGGGTTAAGGGGGTTTTCACATGCGCTACTGTCAATATGAGGGTTACCAAGGAACCATTCAGGGTGGACATAGAGGTCCCGCTTGCAGCTTAGTATAGTACACAATATAGACTCTAATAACTGTAGCTCATATGTGTCTGGGCATGTATCTCCAAATAATCGGAACTTGCTCAGATGATGCCTGAAAAAGGTACCCATGGCTTTAAGAAACCCGAATTAAAGTTTTTGAGTCCTACGACCCTCAACCCTGGACCCTAGACCTGAGGAGCTGCTGGGATGGAGCTTGTGTCGCTCGCAGTTGCCACACAAGGCGACAAGGTCCATGCGCCTCCCGTTTTAAAAGTTGCCGAAACTTCCATGGGCCATTTGAAGGTCCTGGAAGCGTGACTGCTCTTGTGGCAACAACATGACAGTGCGACAATGCAACAGTGAATGCAACAGAACTTGTACAGCCAGCTATGCGTTTAGAAAGTGACAGCGTGCCGATGCCTTCTCATAAAGGTATTGCGCATGGTTCCAGCACAATACTCGTGGCAAAAACGGACATGTTAAGGGTACAAGTGATTAACTCCTTCTATTCTGAGTATTATTCCTGTTTTTACTACTATTGTTATTAGTATTATCATTATTGTTATTACTACTATTATAAACCCTAAACCCTAAACCCTTATTCCTAGAATCAAGAGGTTTGCTTGCGGTCCGGAGGGCGGTGCTGGAGGAATTACTTGAAGGCAGATGTGTACAGAAACTCGTGTGACATAGCTTCCCAAAAGGTCCATGTGGGTATATAATGTATACTTGGGCCCAAGAGTAGGTATATGGGAACCCCGTTGGGCCTGTATCTGGCGTATAGCTACATGGACCCTTTGGGCTTGTGCAAAACCGAAGGTATGATGGGAGCTAGATGGGAACCTTTTAAGGTGCCATGCCATGCATGCAGAGCCATGCAAGCATGTGTTTGATGGCACTGGGTCCTTTTTAGGCGCCAAACAGGCCAGCGCATTAGAATTCCATCTGCACAACAGTCAAGCTGTGGTCAAACTTTCCATTTGCAAGACCCAGCTTGCAGAGAACCCGGGCATCTGTCGTGCAAGTAGCAAGCTTCAGTGGCCTACACGAGGAAACCTCAACATAACTTTCCGCTCGATATCCGCGGTTCCAGATTTGTGGCGCATTCGTGCCAGGATACAGACATAGAGGCACCGGTTCCAGGCACGCAAAAAGGCAGGGCCGTGATTTGGGCGTCATTGAGGGACACCTTTCCTGTTAGGACTAGGAGCAGGGCTCTGCCTGGAAGGATTCATCCCCGCAACCACCACTACGCGCGAAACACCAACCACGCTTCACCCACCACGCTTCATCCACCAACCCCGCTTCAACCTGAGGCCGAAGCCCTACAGACCCAGAGCCCTTGCACCCAAAACCACAACTTTGCAATCCAGGATTTCTGCCTTTTTATCTCCTGCTCTCTTTTTCTCTTTGTAAAGAAAGACTTGGTATGCTGTTGTTCAGTTGCTTGATCTTGTCTGGCTGCGTATAGTATGGATCCGGAGCCTGGTGGGGTAGTATATACATGGAGACCCTAAACTCTTTTAAGGGAGTGAAAAGAGAACCCCCAAACAGGAAACCCCAAGAATATAGTAGGAATATATACCTGCCCGGGTCCTTATCTTCCTCCTTATATTCCTACCATACTCTTGGGGTGCCCTTTTTCTTTATTCTACGCAGTGTGATCGTGTTTTCATGCCTGACCACAGCGATGCCATACTGATAAACAGATATTGTTAGACCTGGCATCATGTTGTCAAACCCCACTGTCTCAGGGATGTCGTCAAACCCTAAACAGTACATCCCGCGCCCTAAACCTTAAACCCTAAACCCCTAAAGCACTGGCTCGGGCTTCAGGTACCCAAAGCCCTTTCAGATCGTGCGTTTGGGAGTTAAAGCCTCTGTTATTCGGGTTTGGAAGGAGTCTGTGGGTCCTATGCTGCGGGTTTAGGGTTTAGGGTTTAGGATGTTCCTATACCTAGACACCTATATCCTACCCCGAGTTTTTGGATAGTAAGCTTCATGTCCAGCAATTTTCTTGTCTAAAAAAGATGAACCCCAAGACTAGGGTAAGGTATAGAGGTCTAGGTAGGACAAGTTTTGAGAAGCTCTCCCATTGAACCATGCTGGAGGGCGCCACTGCTCATTGTCATATCCAAATCCATATGCCCAGAACTCAGAGCCCTGAACAAAAAAAACAAACCCTAAACTGGGTTGCTGTTGAGGAACTTAAACTTAAACTAAGTTACTATGATAATGAAACCCCATCGTTCGATGCGATGTACCCATATTATGGTTACTTAGCTTAAGTTCATTAACAGTAAGCCGGTGAGCCGGGATACGATTCTGATCATGGTGCTTGTGTCTTTTCAGCATCAGTGCTTGCTCCAATGACTGCATGGTTCTGCAAGTCCAGATCGTGCGATTTCATTTCCTGTGTGATAACCTTGACATTGGGTTTTCCCAAAATTGGAGGTACCCTCTTGGGGGTCCCCATGATAAGGATTATAGTATATTGGGGTCTATATTGGGGTCCCCTCATTTTGGTAAACTACCACATAGGGATTCAAGTGCCAAAATAAGCAGGCTTGTAGGTCTCAAGCGTTGTGATCTGGCTGGTTGTGCGTGCCTTAGGCCCTACAAGTCGTGTGCTTGTACCCTTAAGGGTGAAGATGTACCAAGCTTGACTTGGATCCCTGCGGCTTGGTTCAAGCTTCAATGTGATACTCGCATCATGCATCTGCCAGCGTGACGTTTCTATATAAGATAAATGCAGGCAGAACAAACTGACCAAAGCAATGCAGCAACTGTAAGCGATGTCATGCTAGCCCCCCAGTCCAAAACCCAGCGGTAAATTTCAGGGTCTGCTAGACGCTTGCATCTTGGTTTCGTTGCCCTTCCTTCGGCGCTTAGAGAAAATGATGCGCGTCACTTTGACGGCGATCTACGTCGCCACTCTGGTAGCTCGTTTCTGCCTGCCGAACATGTCCAGGGTTTAGGGTTTTATCAACGTTTCTGCTGGCTGTAGCGCTGGTATTTCCCAAAAGCCGCAACACAACAAAATCACGATTTGGAGTCCCATGTGCTAAACCATGATCCCCATGTGGATGGCTCTCCAACCAAACTAGAGCTTGGAAGTGACGTTCAAAGCTCCCATGCAAGTTCCTACAATACTGATTTCTACGGAGAGCCTGCACCAAGCATATATTCCCCATCAACATGAACTTCAACGTCGAATCCTACTTAAGCCCTGTTTTCCAGACGGACGAGCCCTGTGTCTAGTTTTAGGGTCTGGGGCGTGGGAACGAAACAGAAATCACCCATGATCTAGGCACATGGTAGATTTCGTTTTCGGCTCAAAGAGGTCCCTCTGTAAGTATTCGCGCACAAGTATACCAGGACCCTTCTTGTACCCTTAAATAGGCATGTATGGTGCCTAATAGTGGGTATTTAGGGTATATAGAGGGTAGATGGAGGGTCTAGGTATATTACAATATGATCATGACACGGACCTATTGGGGTTAGGAATGGTATTGCCTACAGTTGTATTTGCGGCGTAGCGTGCACCCCCAAAGCCTTTCCTACGTATGCGGGCTTTTGCAGTACTTATATGCACCTGGGCCATTGGGATTAGATGCCCTAACTGGGTTGCTGCTAAGGATCTCAAATTAAGTTACCAGATACCCAAATTATGGTAACTTAGCTTAAGTCCTCAACAACAACCCCGTACCAAACCCTAAACTCTACACTTGAAGTTCAGACCCTGAGCCCTCAACCCGAAACCATGTATCCCCCTTAATAATCCCTACAACAGTCCCCTATCCCCTATATAATATAACCCCCTATTCAAGGAGTTTAGACCCTAAACCCCTAAACCCGTAAGCCCT